TGGCAACTTGTTCTGTAGAAATGGTAACGCATTTGCATTTCCCGCCAAACACCGCTGCTTTGCGATTAGGCTTTTGAGCCAGAGGCTCTGGTTGAGGACCCTAATCGTCCTCCTGTCTAGGTGTGGGCGCCCTGGCAGTATTCCAGCCCACGTACAACCATGAACTGCACACACACAAATAAACTCATGCCACATCCGGTACGGCAGTGAACACTGATGTCATGCTGTCGATGATGATGATGATGATCTGGCCTTTGATCTGCATCTGCGGAGATCCCAAATCGGACAAACAACACCTGCAATCTTATATCGGCTTCGTTCTACCTCTGCCGGATTTCCCTGGCTAACCCGGAAAAGTCCCAATGTTCAAGGACCTGCACATTCAAGCCCAATATCCTTAAATATGACGTCTTCTACGAGGCTGTCCGAAAACCAAGGTATGTCAGTGCAACGATGGCATTACACAGCCACATTCAGTCTGATGGCACACCCACAACTACCCACTTACTACACCTGACTGTGCCCCTCGCCCACTCGTTCAATTAACTGCAACTAAGACCAAACACCTCACTCAGTCCCATCTGCCTCCAGGACGCGTTCGTTCAAATCTCCTGAACCTTCCGTTCTGGTTTAACCATTTCGGCGGGATTTCAGTCTGTATTATCCACAAAGTCAGTAATTTCCCGCACAGTTCACGTTCCAGCTTGTGTGTTGTCACCATTTCGCTCTTCCAAGGAACTTTTACACCGACTCCACTATATCAGCGACACCGATGGGTCTCCGCAGTTTCAATGTACACCAGGATTCTGAAATTCCTGCTTCCCTTAATTCGCTTTGTCGATCCCTTCACTTCATCATCCACACTCTTTATAACGCTGACCGTAAGCTCAACGATCCAAGACCACGAGGATTCTGTGGTGGTTTTATGTTTTGGGTCAAACTGACCGGCTGGTTTAAACCAACTCTGCTGCTTCATCATTTTCACAATTAGTGGTTTTCTTGTCATGCGTCAGGCAGTATGCCTCGGAATGCCCTCCCTCGCGTTTGTCCGCCACCTTGAAATTCTAATATCTACATCGGATAATGCCTCCTGTTGATAACAATTCCATTTTTCCCGCAATCTTCTTTAGCCACAAACTCCACCAGTCATGCTGTTATGCTGGCTCTAATAATATCCTTATTACACACGGTATGTCACCCATCCGTTGGAAGTAAACTTTGTTATTATTTACCTTTCTATGCTCTGGTCAGTTATTTGTGAAACACTTCAGCGCGTTCACGCTGACTTCTTTGTTCCCTTCCTCTTTGATAACCATTCTTTAGCTCTTGTTGGCGCACATCCATGTTGGTTTGAAATTTTTCCATCTACTTCTGCAAGTGCTGATTTCGCGCAGCAAGCTTTGTTAATGTAGTGGGCTCTGAAATTTTACCGAATGCCTCAGTCATTGACAATGACACACACTTTACCGCATAATCTCTCAAAGGATTGTCAAAAGGCTTTGGTGTCTACATCTATTTATGACTCCACGACGTCTCCAGTCAAATAAGGTTGCTGAGGGGTTTGTGCGAACACCCCTACCACTTCCTTCTCTCGCACTTCTTCTGTGAATTAGAACCGCGGAATTGATAATGCAATACAGGAGTGCCGTGCATTCAGTTGCTGGAAAGCGTCCGGTGATTCCTCCTGCATCTCGCTTGCCAAATACGACTGACGTTACGCTTAATCAAGGGTAAGAATTTTTCGCTCACTACAGGAATATTAAATTCAATAGGTGGCAATTTGAGTTAATAATCGCCCTTGTCATCGTGCTGAACACAATTATCAAAGGGACGTTTTCAAATTCTGATAGGTGCGACGGAGCGACTGTTTCTGTTAGGTTACAGCGTATCTTTATCGGAAGCAGAGGTGAAGCGAGGTCATTATTTGGTACTTGGATTGAGCAGACTGGAAGTTGATTATTCGTCCAAAAATCAGATCATCGCTCCGGCTACGTTTGTGGGTTCATTTAGAAGATGCATGGAATCCTAGAGTCCTATGGGCCGGCGGCTCGAGGCACAATGCATTTTTCTGTGAACCCCCTGTGGGTGAAATAAAAACTTTAACGTCAAAATGTTGCACTTCTTTGCATATGTGCTCAGACTGAAAATCCCCTCATCTGCCGTCATTTTTTTGCGATTTGTTTTAATCGATCTCTTTTGAAAATTACTGGCGCACATTCGGCTTTGAACTTCGTTTGCTATGGCTTCGGAAGTGGCTTTCGTTGAGAAATTTGTGGGTGTATCGTTTTCATCCTTCACGGCATTTGAGAAGACCTTAAATGAATACATGAAGGATAACTTTGTGATATTTGTGCATTCAATCCGAAGAAGCCAGTGAGCCGAGTGTATTTTCTAATAAAAAGGTACGCGAAGCACCAGCTGTCCAGTGCGGTTTTGTCTACAGAAGCAAAGGAACCAACTGTCAGTGACCTCTTATTTTCTGGAACACAACCACAAGCTGTCAGATTTTCTGTGCGGTCGGCTTCCAGTCAACCGGCGCCTAACCGAAGACGAGTTAAGCACATGCAAGGCCCTGCTGGGATATGGAACGCCGTCATCTGAGGTGCGGCAGTTTGTGGCGGATGAATTCGGAAAGATTCTTACCACTAGGGATATACACAACTGCCGCCGAAAGTGTCGGCCGGCTACGTTGAGTAGATGCCGCATGGTTGGGTTTTAATATAGCAGATGATATGCCCTCGGTCCCGGCAAAACTTCGGAAGACCGGAAGCGTCCTTGTGTGTCAGGGAGAGGAAGGTCACTATAACCACATATGTTTCTCCCGATGGCAGCAGATAGCGTTATTCCGACGCTTTCCAGATGGTATTTCGATTACCTAAATTATATCTTCCTCTCATTTCGGGACTTCAACGGCCAAATGAACACTCCTCGCGAAGAAGAAAATGCGCCTCCCAGAAGGACATATGTAAACTTCAAAACGGCCAACATATCTCAAAATTTCATGACGTCCATTTTGAGCTTTTTCTCCGTTACAGATGGATGAGTGTGAATCGTGTACCCCTAGCCGCATGTTAGTCATGTACGTCGGTTGAGATCGTTCAGCTGTCTGGTATTACCGACGTAGGCTCTATGTGGCTAGTTAGTTAGGCATCGTGTACCCCTAGCCGCATGTTGGTCGTGTGCGTCGGTTAAGATCGATAAACCTCGAGGTCTTTCTAGCATAATTCGCAACCTATAATAAGAAACTCTGGTTTTAGCCAGCAAACGTGCACGATGTTTAGCTAATAATTAGCGTGGACTACGGAATGTTTACTGGCAACAGAGAATCATCAATCAAAATTTGTTTGCACGAATGCGCCTACGCATATGTTGCATCTCCAAAGGCCATTTAGGTTCTAGAATGTTGAGGAAATTTGGTTCGGTGGGAAAATACCTGAAAGCTACGTTCATTGTATGTGAGTCAACCTTTTCCACAACTCGCGTTTTTTGATCATCAGGTAACGCATTCACAGTTGGCGGTGTTTATTGACCTTGAGAATTTGCTCACTTAAACAAATCGCTATAGTAAATGATTTTCAATAATATAGGAGCATATACATTATACATAGACATTCTACACTATGAAGTGGCAAGTCTGAAAATGCCGTAGATTTCGAGAAATCAATGTCATTGGGTGAATAGCCAGTGGCGTCCTATGGCAATCAAGCCCATACCACTTAAACTTAAGATTAGCTTATACGTACTCCCTTTTAGCTTTAACCTTATGCGTCGAATAGTGCGTATGATCACTGAAATCATGCATTGCAACATCAATCTACATGCGGCTACATCATTGTCGACGAACGGCTCAAGTGAGCTGCTGGTAAGTCTGCCTTCACGAAAGCACGAAGTCTGAGCTCTTATCGAAGATTCATCAGAGACTAAATCGAATGCACATCCTCATTCCAGGCTCATCATCAAGTGAGTGTGGCCTACGAAGAAACAAATAAATAACCGTTTCAGATGTGCTAGCTCATCAAATAAATAAAACTACTCCACCAATGATGGTTTCATAATTTTCGGGCGCGTGCTTGGCGAAGCGTTAATACATACGGTCGTGATGACGAATGACCGTCATTAGCCATCACATCAAGTGATCAACCATACTGAAGACCTCATAATCAGCAGTATGCATGAATACGGACCTAATTAGCCACAATCAGCCAAAATGAGCGACAACGCGAACAGTAATCATAACGAAGAGTACTGGTCGATATCGGTTTCCGAAAATTTCGTTGCGATGTATGACGTAATCAGCCCTAACGACACGCTTTTCAACGGGAACGATCTCCCGTTTGGATGGTGGTAATTCACATGCGAACACCTGGAAAAGCTGCATTATTTCTGATGAGTTGCACATAATTGATAGTGTTATCGCTCAGAGACGCGCATTCGCAACAACAATGCATATTGCATCAAGTCATCCTCTACTTCCATGCTGCACGCAGGGCGAGTCTTCCAGGCAAACAGACCGCGCCGAATTCGGCAAACAACCTCACCTAATTTGTTAAGTCATATGAGTAAAACGGATCTGAATAGAACTTCTGTATCCACCTGGGTGGCGTTTACAATCAAAATTCTGTATATTTCATCTCCTATTTGAAGAAGGACGGAAACCATCAAAGAGTTCTAAGATTTGTTTTTGTTCTTTATCCCGTAAACTGGTCACGCATGCACCTCGAACTAACGCATAATTGAACGAAAAGCTAAAAATAACATCGCAGTGTAGTGTTTAGAAGAAATACATTAAATTCCTGCAATAGCATCAACTTTGACAGTCTCATAGTTTCGCTGAGGTTTATGTCACTTTGATTTCAGTAGTCGGAATCAACGAAACCCAGGGAATATGAATTCAAGAACCCGAGCTCAAGGTGGTGACCTTGGAGTAGTCGTTTTTGATTGGTCGTGAGCGTTGCGCTCCAACCAATGACAAGAACGTTGAAATAGGTCAGATCCTAGCCGGTTTACATAACACGGGTCGGGCTGGTTGTATGTCTTTTATGGGAATTGAGATCCCATACGTACGGTTTTAAACTTTCAAGGAAAGCGCGGAATGAATAATCTGGTCGCACTGTTGTCATCACTACCGTTTATCACACTACATATGTGTGAACCTAGCTGTCCTCCCAATATTGCAGAACTCGCACCCAACGTATGCTTATTTCGCAATGGTTCAGTCCGCTCATACTGCGAAGCACACAAAGTTTGTGCGGACTATCACGAGCTCCATGGTGTACACGCCTTTCTTATTGGAAAAGATACTAATTACATAGAAAAATTCGATCGTGCAAGCATACCCGATATAGAAACATTTACCAGTATAAACAGCCTTTATCGTACCAGACCACATACCGGAGAAGCATGGCGTGTGGGTGACCCGAGGGAAGCAAACTTTACAACGAGCGGGATGGAATTTAGCTGGAATAAGACCGGTGGATCTGAAAGCCGCATCGTTGTGTACTGGCACCAGAAATTGGTCGCTGTTCCCCAGCGGGACCAGATGGGTGTAGCCATGTGTCAATTCTCTCCATCCGTGCACAACTTCTCAGCTGTGGAACAGTTCAGAAAAAACTGGCCTCCGCAAGGTGAGATTGTAACAGAGGGTGACTCGGCAAATGGCTGTTGGGAAGTCAAGACAGTTCACTCAAAGATACAATGTGCATTCAGGTAAGTTCCGTATTGTAAGTAGGATTAAAAACCATTAGGATGACGGGACACTTTGAAATAGTACCTCTGAACATCACGACCCATGGGAGACATAACTTTTCTGCTGACCATATGTTGCGCGACTATTCGAATTTTGAACGCATGGGCTGTCAGCAGAGTCATAGACGATAGTTTATGGCTTTCTGGAGAAACTAAAATTCAACCCTGGATAGTGTGCTCTCCATCGGCAAACTCTAATGGGTCCCGTAGGGGTTTCTATTGAACTGCGTCGAGTCTTGTGGAGTGAGCGCTCTGTAATAATGCCCACTGGTTACCAGTCGTTTTCGCACGATTGTGTAATGAAGTCTTGATTTCAAATTCGAGTAATAGTAATGGCCTCAAAAGCAAGAGGGCCAGTAACGGTGGGGGAAAAACTTGGTATGAAAAGCAAACCGCTGAACGTTTATGTGGTGTGATTCTCCCAAAACCTGAAGCAAGCAGAACACCCTCATTAGACTCGCGAACTGCAGACCAAAAGAACCAATGACTATACGATGACATTGACCAAACTACATTAGTCCACTGCAGCTAATTACTAGTGGCGCATACACTGCGAGCTACAAATTCCTACCAGACGGGAAGTGTAGGGCGAAGCTAACAAGAAATCGTAGGTATACGGGATCAAGTGGTGACGCGTGTATCGTACAGCCAGAAAATAACTGAATTGGTCGGTTTAACACATCCACGCCTGGAAATAACATTTGACCATGCTGAGCGAAACGTAGACACCGGGAACATACTATCAATCTCGGTCGGCCTACCTGCCAGACATGATAATGTGAGTGTGTTTGTTTAGCTGATGTCACTTCGCTGGTACTTGCCCCGTGAATCAGATTAGAACTATGTCAGTCCATTGCCAGATCAGTCTTGCTCACTCTTAATCCAATGAGATATATCCGGTACTATGATATACAATGCAATGCACGGGACCGCATGCGCCCCCGGAACGATAAGTTGGAAAACACTGCGTATGTATAGTCGACTGGATCCAATATATACATCCATATAATTGAGAAATCTTCCGTTGGATGTGAGGAGACCACTGTTTGTAGATGTGATGGTAAACCACGAATGCAGGTAGGGTATCTACAGAAGCGCACTACTTTGTCTTCAAATAGCCACAGTGGACCATATTGAGTAAATTTCTGGGCTGCGCTGCCCGGCACTTTCCAAGACTGAATGACGCGTTCCGGGCTTACCTGACAGGTCAGTATCCGTTCGTCACGTTATCACTTGTTTAATGCAGCACCCTACCGTGCTCGTTTCGTTCACGCTCAGTGCACATCATCTTCTGTGTTTTTTCAACCACTCTTCTTGAATAGGGTAACCTGGTGAGCATTTGCTAACGAGGTATCCATGAACGATGCATACTCGTTCGAACGAACTCTTTTCAACAAAACACACGGGAATCGTTTTGCACTTCTATCCGACATCCCACCACTCAAAGTAGCAAAGGCACTTTTAGATGTTCTGTTCTTGAGGGACTGTGCTGCTACTAGGCATTTTCAGAAACGCAGGAAGTGATGAGCTGAAATCACCAGCCGAATACTTACGGGGTGGTCTAACATCAACTCAGTGGCATATTCTGGTCCGCTGAAGGTCTTTTCTCGTTTTACTCGGGGACAATGATATTCACTCAGTTGCATCATCTAACCGAAATCTCACAAGGGTGAAAAAGAGCTTTAGTCTGCCGTACTGAAACTTCTCATTGCAACACAGCGCGAGGTGACTAAATTCGAAGATTCACATCACCTTGGTTCCCATGATTGCTGCTGGTTAGCTCATTTGGAGATGAGCAGATCAGCATGAACATCAGACACACGTCAGTCCATTTTCGACCCTCGGGAAAGAGCATCCAGGAGAGTTAACAAGTAATTTCGCCACTGAATGAAAAGAATCCGGAAGCGTGATATGGGAGCTCACTAACCACAAAGAAAGGAGTGGTCAAAGCAGTTTCGGCTACCACAAAAGGAAGTCTGATATGGTACAGAATCCAGACTATTTCGAAGAACCGAGCATGAAAAGTTACATATACAAGTATGGACTTGTGCGCTTGTCATCACGTGCGGACGCACTTTCAAAAAAACACAAACCGCAACCAGCCTCATCGCCTAGTACCCTCTATGGCTGGACCTCTTTGTCAGCTTTGTATCTGCAGGCCGTCATGTCGCATATGAACAGAAATCAAATCACTGCAATACTCTGTTCTCCTGGGTGCAAGATAGGCCATAACACACACCTTTTACATACTGGTCATTTTACTAACTTAGTGACTGTAACACGTACTGAGATATCTTGGTAACACAAATTAGCGACCCCCAGTATTGAATCTAGCTTGATTTCATAATACCCCCACCATCCATTTGCTCAATCCGCTCACGTGTTTTGCTCATCTGTATTCGACGAAAATGCCGTCCCGTTCGAGCCTAGTGCGCAAATAGTAAGTGGTATCGTAGAATTTCGAACCCAATGGATCCATTTGACATTCGGAATTGTCTAACCTACTCATCACTCAAAGTTCCGCATCGACAATCTGAACGCGCAGTAATGCAACAGCAAGTTTCCAGATGAATAGATTACGCCCAGTGTTCGTCTCGAATTAGACTCACTTGATCCGGAGAGCAACGGGAAGATTTCAAATACTGGCCACCAGTTTGGTTCCAAGTAATACGATGGAACCGATTTGAACGAGTCCGACAGAAATTCCAGGGAGAGGGAGGGAACAAGACAATTATTGAACAATATTCATCCCCGAACTTCCTCAAAGTACACTCATACTTCCCTGTCAATTAACTGATAAGGATCTGGCACTCTTACGCAGGCAAGCAAACGTTTTATGTGATCCACGTTGAGGTTAGAAGGCTGCATTCACATACGGGCTATCCTAGACTGTGGAAACAAAGTTGGTTCATGGAGAGAGCCTTGAATCACCTGCATGGGCTTGCCTCTGCCGAACTTATTTTCGAGGTCCATCAACATGGTCCGTGTTAAATATACGAATGGGAAGCAGGTCTTTGGATAAAATTGAGTGAGCATGCCCCAGAAAAGGGAATTCCCATTGTGCTAAATTAGTTATCCAGATGCGTCTGCTACAAACGGCCGACTTCCCAACAGGAAATTTCACTCCTGGAAGAGCTGATATCCCCGAGAATAAAAGTCCTCCTGTAGACTAGTCTCGGCAGCTGAAATCCCCCTCTCAACTCTGAACAAGAAACAACTTTAAAGAAAAAACCCAACCATTGAATGATTACGTCCTCGTTACCCCATATGCTCTGACCTCACAATCGCGAGCCGCAACGGTTTATCAAGAACTGCACGACGTAAATCAACTCATCCGCGCATGCCGAAATGAGGAACAAATTTTACTGGCTGAGCTCACTGTCACCACTTGGAGATTCAGCTCTTAGTGAACGGCCAAAAAACAGCGCGTTACAACACTACGCGCTCAAGCGAAAGACTTTTCTTGTTTTATCGTTTGCTTCGTGTGTGTTAGTCATTGACCAACTGGTTTCCTTCATCGCCGTTTGATGCCTATTTATGCACATTGTAGCGGACTAGGACCTTATCAGCGTGTTAGGATAAATTAACAAGCAAAGTAACCAATACAAAATCACAAAATCACAATAGGAAAAGAATGAGTAGTCAAATGGGGACTCACGAATGTGTAGATCCAATAGTCCACTACACCGATCCAAATGCAGTAACTGGCTGTGAAAGGAAATATTCACTTGTCGAAATTTCCCACAGATGGTTCCGCGTGAGTGATATACTCCACGGTAGGAAAATTATCCATGGCTAAAAAATATCACAGGGATTTATTGTGACGTTCAACAGTTGACACAAACACGGAGATTTAGTCCCACTGGGTCAGCAGTCAACAGACAGTTCAACGGAGCGTAAATACGCTCGTTCAGCAAGAAGTCAGCAGCAGGTCGCGCCGGAAAATTGTGTATTCGTAACATTAAAACAAACGTCATGATACAATGTGAACGACAGTTACAAAGTGTGGTT